GTTGCGGGAGCAGAGTGGGGAGGGGGGGAAGGAGGACCGGGGGAGCAGCAGCAACAGCAGCGCAGCAGTGGTGAAGCTCTCTCCCTATCCGCCGATCGTTTGCTCCTCGTGCTCTCTCTCTCACTTTTTCTCTGTCTGGCTTCCTCTCTCTCCTTCTTCTCAGTGTCAGGAAAAAAAAAAGGATTGATGCCACCGTGTGACGTGTGGCTAATTTCAGAGAGATGCCTTGCAGAGGATTCCGTAGTTTGCCCTCCCTCCCCCCGTTGTGGATCCTGCGGTATTCCTTTATTTTCCCTTGTCTTGAGGTAGTAAGTTGTGGCAGTTCGCCTGCTCTGGCTGTGAGTCTGCGGGTTGGCAGCGGCTCTGCAGTGGGAGGTGGGCAGGAGAAAAGCACGCGAGGGAGAGAGACACGCAAACACGCTCACGGCAGAGAAGACCATCAACGGCGACAGTGGCAAGAGCAGTGGTCCTCACCTCCAGCGCTCACCCTCCTTTCTGTATTTCTCTCTGTGTGACTGGGTTGCAGGCGGCAGAGTCTTTCTCCTCCTTTTGTCCTTCAGTGGAAACGTGAATGTACTGCTGACGCATCCCGCTCAGAGCAGTGCATTGGTTTGATGCAGTGTTCTTGTGTATTAACACATTCTCCCCCTCCTCGCCGAGTGTACTGCCTCTCTCTCTCAGACGCTCACACACCAAAACACTCTCCAAGTCTTCCTGATTCACTTTTCACAGTTTTTTCCTTCTCATTCTTTGGCTCTTTTTGTCTCCACTTATATCCTTTCTTTCTATCCTCATTATTTTGTTTCTCCTTCACCTCTTTCCAAACTTTCCTCTCATGCTGTCTTGCGGACATACTCTTTACAATTCTTTCCTCGCATTTTCATTGTTAATCTCTTTTGCTCTCATTTTTCCTATCCTTCTGACGTTCTTCTTCCTCTCACAACCTTTCTGTAGTATGTACTAGTTTTTCAATGGCATCATTTAAAATTTTAACTTGAGAACTATGGAATGTAAGAGATGCTTCTTTGAAATACAATTGTGTAAAGTACGTTTGCATTAAGAATGCATCTTCATACTTTCATTTGAGTACTGCAGATGAAAACAGACTAGCAAATGAAGACAGGCATGAAGCTATAGAAGGCTCTCAAGGATCACTGGTGTGACACCATCTTTGTGTGAATGCTGACTCCGCTTGCATTGGCTGGCCAGTCTTAAGGGACACCAGAAAAGCATAGACTAGTGATAAAGAAGCAGAAAAAACTTAATCAGAAGAGTGTGGTTTGGTGAGACAACGAAGCAGCTTAAGTGGGTAAGGTAAGGAAAGAAATAAGGTAAATAAATGTGTGCTAAAATTACAAACCTTGAACGAGAGAATTTCACATTTCCCTGCCTCAGTGTATGTGGTAAATGGCATTTCCCTAATTTAGAATTTCTTAGTAACACAGCACTGTAAAAAAAAAAAATTCTCAGGTAAAACTTAAAATGTGCATCATTTAGGCCCAATCCCAATTCTATTTTATACCCCTTCCCCTTCCCCTACCCCT